GTGGGGTGGGGGGGGGTGGGGTTCATAAAGACCTGGCCCTTTCCCTCCCCCCTCACCAGCCGTATGACTGCTCCATCGACCTCCTTCCTGGGGCGCCCCTACCTTCCAGCAGGCTATACAGCCTGTCCAACCCAGAGAGGGACACGATGGAGCAGTACCTTAAGCAGTCGTTGCAGGCGGATCTCATTCGGCTGTCTTCGTCCCCTCTTGGGGCGGGTTTTTTTTTTTGTGAGCAAGGACGGGTCGCTCAGGCCGTGTGTCGATTACCGCAGCCTGAATAACATCACAGTGAAGAATAAGTACCCGCTCCCCTTACTCAACTCGGTTTTCTACTCCCTCTCAGGTGCCTCCATTTTTACCAAATTGGATATGCATAATGCCTACCACCTTGTACGCATGCATGAGGGGGACGAGTGGAAAACGACATTCAAGACCCCACTCGGCCACTTCGAGTACCTTGTTATGCTGTTCGGCCTCACCAATGCGCCAGCTGTTTTCCAAAATCTCGTAAACATCCTACGAGATTTCTTGAATAGGGTCGTGTTTGTTTACCTCGACGACATTTTGATTTATTCATCTTCTATTGCCGCCCATCAGCAACATGTCCGCCTTGTCCTGCAGCGACTGCTAGAAAACAAACTCTACATAAAGGCGGAGAAGTGCGAGTTTCACGCACGCACAGTGAGTTTCCTGGGGCTCGTTATCGAGCAGGGGAGGATACAGGCCAACCCAGAAAAGATACAAGCAGTCACTGAATGGCCAGTACCTGAAACAAGAAAAGACTTGCAGCAATTCCTGGGGTTCACCAATTTTTATCGCAGGTTCATCAGGAACTACAGCTCCCTCGCAGCCCCCCTCATTAGGTTGACATCTACCAAGCTCCACTTTCACTGGACTGAGGAGGCCGACCGTGCCTGCCAATCCCTCAAGGACAGGTTTACCTCAGCCCCTGTTCTCGTTCAACCAGACTCCGCTCGCCAGTTCATAGTGGATGCAGATGTGTCGGACACCGGGATGGGGGCAGTGTAAAGAGCTAAAGTGGACAACAAGGTCCATCCTTTTTTTTCCCTGCGCCTCAGCCCAGCTGAAAGAAACTATAACATATGCAACCGAGAACTGTTACCCATTAAACTAGCTTTAGAAGAGTGGAGACACTGGCTGGAGGGAGCTGAGACCCCTTTTACTGTGTGGACTGATCATAAGAACTTGTCATACCTACAGACCGCAAAGAGACTGAATGTCCGGCAAGCCAGGTGGGCGCTCTTCTTTGGCTGCTTTAATTTCACGCTCACTTACTGTCCCGGCTCCAAGAACCAGAAACCAGATGCCTTGTCACGACAGCACGGTCCTACGCAGGGTGACCAGAAGGAGGAGACCATACTGCCTCCCTCCTGTGTTGTCGCAGCAGTTACCTGGGACATTTTACGAAAAATCACAGAGGCCCAGTCACGCCAGCCTGACCCTGGGGGTGGGCCGCCTGGTCGTACCTTCGTCCCGGATTCGGTAAGGGCGGCGGTGCTGGAGTGGGCCCATACCTCACGTTTCACGTGTCACCCCGGGACTGCGCGCACTCTGTCCATACTTGGGCACCGCTTTTGGTGGCCCACCATGAACCAAGATGTCCACCGGTTTGTTAAGGCCTGCTCTGTTTGTGCCCACGAGACCCACAGCAGAATCTCCGCACCTGACACGTGCAGCCTCCCTTATTTCCTTTTTGGTCTTTATTAAAATAAATATTTCTCTAGCCTGGGTACGAGTACTGCACCTTCTTGAGTCCTGCCTTTGTTCAGATACGGCTCGGCCGTAACACAAGGACTATGGACTTGATTATTTGCATAAAACAGAGTTATTTGGTGTAAACATCTAATACATATTTTGTCCACTTTTTCTACATGTTGCAATGAGTACTGCATAAAAAGGATGAGTTGTTAGTGAAAGCTGTGAGTCAGGGTTTGTGGTTATGTCACATGCATAATATAGGATGTACGCTGATGCATCCTTTTGTTTCTTTGTCCACATTCATTACCACAGACGCCATTCTATATCAGCTACCTGCCTCATACTGTCTCTGCCTATTAGATGCTACAGTCTTGTGGCTTAAGAACAGAAAAAGATGGCTCGATCAGATATGACTGTCATGGAAAAAAAATTCCTTCAAGGTGTTCCTGAGATATCTCATTCACAATATTGGGACGGACAGACGACCCGAAAACATACATGCCTCCCACTATGGCTATCGTTGGCATGGAGGCATAAAAATGCTAAATGGATATTCAGTGTTTTGGAATGAAACTAGCAGTCCCTTTGTGCTAATTTTGCCCCTGTCGGTGGTTCCCACAGTGAGAGTGCAGATGTTTAGTGGGGTAAATGGGGCATGTAAGGGCACAGCGCTAAATCTCCTCATGTGATGCCTTGCCAAGTTTAGGCTGTGCTTTATATACAAGTCTAGTATCATAAGATGAGACTTTAGGCTTTCACCACACCGCAAAAATAGTTATCTATTATCTGTTGTATAATGTGTAAATAAACCTATCCAACAGCTTAAACTGCAGCTAATCTTCCTGACAATAGAACTTTCTGAGCCCAGAGCCTTGATGAAGAGGATGATAGGGACCCACCTCTTTGGCACTCTTGATCTTCTCCAGGAAAGTGCGCAGCTCCCTGGTTTCTGTGTACAGAGCCCGGCACACTGCCTGGTAGTGACTGGGGGTGTCTGATAGACTAGGTAGATGAGCTGTACACAGCTACAGGGGAGACAGTGAAGCATGGAGACATTGTCAGAAGAGATGGAGGAAAATTCACAAAGTGCAACACAATGGCTACCACTAACCATATTATTTTGATATTACACATTACTCAATAAAGGGATTCCAGGTTATGTAAAGCACCTACCGGATGGTCATAGTGCTTTGTCAACACTATCTGAACAGCTTTTTAAATGTATGTAAAATGCATGTTAAAATATTTTCTTTATGAACTTTGAGAAGACTGACACTGTGACACGTTGGTTAGTTAAGCATGGTGTTTGTTCTGTTTAACCTGTGCACTAGAACATGAAGCAGTCTGACAGACACCTGCATTATATGGTTTTTGATTGCTTGAGTTAACTTGCCTGCTTGAGTTGGCATGTTAGCTAACAATGCTAAAATGAAGCTGTTGATCAAATGAGGCTACTGTTCCCAGCAGGCTCAAACTGCTTTGGATAGAAGAGTTTTCTATATCACAGTAACCTAATTTTAGTAATTAATGCACATGATCTGACTCTTGATTTGGTGTTCTGTCTACACCAACACCACAAAAATATGTTATTGCTGTTAGTTTCACACAAAAATTCAAAGGCTATGTTAGGTGAATAAATGTGACTAACAACTAATAGTGTATTCTGTGTCAGTATAGGAGGACAAAAGGTAAAGTGAAGGAGCACAAAGACTGAATGGACAGAAAAACTACAGACAACTCTTTGAACTGACAGTTAGCTAGCCACAGGGCTAGCAAGAATAAAGCTGGCAGTCACCTTGCACTGTGATCTCTATGTAATCTCTATGTTCAAAGCCAGGTTTATTATTTTCATTTTCACACACTCATCATTTCCTGAACAGTCAACCCCTGACATCATCTCACTTCTTTTTATTGGCTTCTTATTAAGGTAGAATTCTACAAGATGCCAGAAATAACAGAAACTAGAAAGAGTATTAAGGTTATACAACTGATATGACTGACACATTACCAGACTATTGTTTGTCCTCCCTTTAGCTCTGTTCTAGTCTCTACCAACTCCCAAGGGATACATCTGGCCCTTCAGCTACTAAATGGTCCAGTATGTATGGCTAGCTAACTGTCTTTTTTCAGTTTGGTGTTGGGCAGGTATCACACAGTGTGTATATCACTGAAACCACAGGTTAATGAGTGAACCAATGAAAAGCAAAGCTGCAGGATGTAAAAGCAAAACAATGAGCTGAAAGACACTAAAAATCTCTGCAGAGCTGAGAAGAAATTCTCTGAGCCTTATCACTACAAGTCACATCTTTCTTTTCCACCTTGTCATTTGATCCATTGTTCACATAAAAAATGTGATCTTTTCCAGGAAAGGTCCACCAGAAAACAGGAAATTGTGATTTTTACATTTCCAGCAATAGCCACAATTGTTTGTTTGGAATCAGACAAAATGATATGGTAGTTATCTTGAGTATAATTAGCCAGACAACTAGACAACCACAGTCACTTCTTTAGCTACTGTACCTACCTTGAGGATGTATCTGTAGCCGTGAACAGTGGAGATGTTGTCCTGCTCGCCCTTGTCCTCTTCCTCAGTGGCCTCATAACCTTCATCAGGGCAAGCATCCCTCTCGGCCTCAGCCATGTTGGTCATGAGGTCGATGAGTTGCTCCAGAGGAGGGCTGAGCTCCCTCTCCTCATTCTCCTTCAGCCCGTAATCCAGAGCCTTGTAAATCATGATGCCCAAAGACTCAATCACCTGAGAGAGGACAAGACAACCAAAGCATCATCTGCATTCATGCATGTACTCTACATCCTGGGTTACTTTTACTTAAACA